TATACCCTCACCCCTATACCCTCACCCCTATACCCTCACCCCTATACCCTCACCCCTATACCCTCACCCCTATACCCTCACCCCTATACACTCACCCCTATACCCTCACCCCTATACCCTCACTCCTACCGGCATCGCGTGCCCTCAGATCTCTATTAGAGGGCAATGCAGTGCAGTTAGTTTCCCTGTAGTTAGCGTCGGTCGATTGATAGTTGCGTGGCGTCTGTAGTTCCAGGAAATTACAACAGACATGCGTGGGCTTAGCTGTTCCTTGCCTTAGTAAACTAGTTATTAAGATAAACTAGTTCCCCTAACCGCGTATTGTCATAGTTATGAGGATAGACTAGTACATCTAAGAGCGTATTGTCCTAGTGATTAGGATAAACCAGTTCCTCTAACCGCGTATTGTCCTAGTTATTAGGATAAACTAGTTCCTCTAACCGCGTATTGTCCTAGTTATTAGGATAAACTAGTTCCTCTAACCGCGTATTGTCCTAGTTATTAGGATAAACCAGTTCCTCTAACCGCGTATTGTCCTAGTTATTAGGATAAACCAGTTCCTCTAACCGCGTATTGTCCTAGTTATTAGGATAAACTAGTTCCTCTAACCGCGTATTAACCTAGTGTAACTATAGTAAAAGGTAGCCTAGCTCGCATCGTGTGCACTAGTTTATTTTTTAGTTCATGATTCAATTTGACATCCGTCGTCTCGGTGGAGACCTCATCTCCCGCGTTGATATTGAGTTATTAATTTTCAATTGTGCCTTCACAAAACATCAGTTCCTTGTCACTGCTGGTAAATAGTTTTTAATATGGTTCAATATTCACTAATTCGATAATCGATCGAAGTTCATATGAATTAGTGAAGCTCACTAATTAGATCTTCATAAATTCGATCTTTGTTCAAAGTTCATGTACATTTGCCTTAGTCTTCTACATCACAACAGAGGTTAAGGTTATTGTACTGTCGATAGCGCGGTGATTGAATAAAAACTATCGTTTTGATAATTTTAATTCCTAATTGTAAGTTTGAATGCCGTTTTTGCTGGGAAAAATTTATGATAATGAACAATCAGTCTGTCACTGCGAAAATACGACCGAAGGAATAAATTTTTATTTCTCTTCTTACTACGTATATCTAAAAAATCCCGCCCCCGAGATTGCTGCCCACGCCACCAGAGGGCGATCGTTAACAATTTTATACTTATTGCATTAATGTTGGGGGCTCCTTGCTTTTCGTATGCTGGGCTGAAAAGTTCGAGTCATAAAATCTATATTTGCTATTGGGGTCATAAATGTCCATTCCTGTCCTCGAGGGATTAATAAGTGAGGTATCCTAAGTCTCCATTCCTGTCCTCAAGAGATGGACATACGTGGGGTCCAATATGTCCCTCCCTGTCCTCCAGGGATGGAAACGTCAGGGGTCTCAAATGTCCATCCCTGTCCTCGAGGGATGGACAAATTTGGGGGTCCCAAATGTCCATCCCTGTCCTCCAGTGATGGAAATTTTATGGATCTCATATGTCTATTATTGTCCTCGAGGAATAGAACACGTGGTGTTACCGTGTTTCTACCCTAACTCATTTATCGTACTTGTAGGTAAATTTTTGTTGTAGAAAATTTTTGTTTATTTGAGTTTGTGCTATGATCGTTTTCTATCTACATACGTTTTCTTTAGATATTTTGAAGATGAACTATAAAGAAGTCAAATCAATGTGGGATGTAAATATCAGCTGCAGAAAACTCATTGCTGTGCGAGTAGAAATCTGTTCTACTCCATTAAAAAATTCCTTATGTTTTATTTCACTAAAAAATGTTTTCATTTAATTGCTGCAATCTTATTGCTCTAATATTTTTTGTTTTCTACCAGCGCGATCGCTCATTCACGCCATGGCTGATAGGTCGGGGATCCCGGCACCGCGACACGTTGAATATTATGGCTAACAGCTCATGCTTCTATATATTCCTGGTGCCGGGGTTCAAGCCAACACGAACAATCTTTGACAAAGATATATAAGGTTCAATGTCTATAGTAATATATTACTTATTAATGAAATTTATAGGGTCACTGAGTTTAGATGCAATCATGCAGGGTATGCTAGCGTCCCAATGGTCCCAGTATATATACATAATATATACTCCCAATGGTCCAGCATAGCATACCTGTTAGCATGACTTATTGATATAGTTGATGCTATGTTATGCTCAACGGTATATCAAAGGCGTGCCAGCAACATTCAAACAACATCGGCAACATTTTTTTCTTTAAATGATCTACTGACAGAAACGATTCATTTTTTCATATGATCTACCATCTGATATAATCAAACATCCGATATGATCATGATTTATCTTCTTATATATGATTCTTCTTCTACTTATTGTATGTTTTCATCTGCTTGTATCACTCACAACAGGACCTCGGTCGCCAGTGTCATGGTAGCTGCCTGGTGGTGACAAATGTACCACTAAAAAAAATTAGATAAATACTCACTGCAGTATAAGCGCATTTTCTCGTCCATCCGTGACGTGAAGTCACGGACGGACGGACTTGAGTCACGGAGGAACATGACGAGCACAATAGCGCCTTTTTTCCAAAATTATAAAATTAATGCGCTAAAAATGAACAAGTAAAATCGTCCAAGTACTGAGAAACTTTCTTACACTTACCACGAGCAAGGAGTGGACGTATGACTGAAACTCTCCTTTGCCAGGCCAATTTGGGCCAGGAAGACACGCAAAAGGGCCAAAGGTGCATCGCTATTTGGACAAAGTCTCACTCATTTCTCTGATTGCAAGAAGTCTGGTGCCGAAAAACCAAAACAGGTTTCTCCGTATAATGAATTATCTGTGTATTTGCTGTGTGAGTGTTAATTTTGTTAGTTAGCCCGTACATATTCTCTTAATTACTATGTACATATCATTTTGTTATTGGTTTCATATATTTCACACTCGCAGGTGACTGACGCCGTTTGTGAGTCAGCGACGTATCGTGACGCAACCCTGCACGATGACGTCACTCGTGAGGGCGACGGCTCGGCAGCGCTCAGTGTTCACTTGGACGTCAGTGTGGGAGGTTGTCATTTGCCGAGCTCGTTCCAGGTGTGCTATTCTTACATCGTCAGGGGCGGTCATGATGAAGGCTTTATTGCATTGGTATCAACATGAAATTATTGTGTCTTCGACATTGATTTTGGAATGACTACATAAGTTTTGTACGTATTTTGGTTCCAATTTTCCCTCTCGGGCGTAGACAACATGAAAGCACAGGCCTCCTCTTTGTGCCAGACGCACGACGTGTGAACGTCGCCGTGTTGTCGTACACACGTCTTCATTCATCGCGTGTTGTGAGCGTATTACGCGGTACTTATATACTTTGTAGTCAGTAGTGTGTACACGTACATAAAGTCGTTTTGTATCCCGAAACTCTATCGTGTGTGTTACAGTTTTATCTCGTATACCTATTTAAAAAAAATTATAATACCATATTAATACCTTGTTTTCATTCGGTGTTTTAAAAACGCTCATAAACATAAATTTATTGTAAAAAATTTCACGACGGTCTTAGAACTTTCGACCACCGGAGTGCAACACACGTGTCAGGTGTTGACAGAACAGTTGTGTCAACTTCGTAGCATCAGCTGGCTACACGCGCCTCATGTTCAGAAGTGAAGTCTGGATTTAGAATCACCGTAGAACTTGCGATCATCTTTCCGTGTACTATTCATAAAGTTTGCTGTGTAAAATTGTTGGTAAATTTATACAAAGCTGCCAGGCGCGGCATGTTCAACAGTCCTTATGTAGATCGTGCGGAGGGCAATTTCTACGGCTGTCGTAAGTTCTACAACTGTCGTGAGTTCTACAGTGTAAAAATTTTACGGTAGACGTAAGTCGTCCATTGTATGCGTAGTATAAAAGGTAATTATAATGATAATAATAATAATAATAATAATGAATGAATAATAATAATGAATAATAACGTACTTCGCGTTCGTCAGGAGTTCGTCTACTGGCGGCGCCCTCTGCCTGACATCAGTGACGACCTCCGTGCCCTCTGTGCTGAGGGAGGTGCTGCTGCTGAGGGAGGTGCTGCTGCTGAGGGAGGTGCTGCTGCTGAGGGAGGTGCTGCTGCTGAGGGAGGTGCTGCTGCTGAGGGAGCGACTACTGCTGAGGGAGGTGCTACTGCTGAGGGAGGTGCTACTGCTGAGGGAGGTGCAGCTGCTGAGGAATGTTCTCAGGATGCCTTCAGCCTACCCTCTGTCATATGTCGTCAAGATGACGTAACAAGTCCTAACATTAAGCGTTACGAACATTACGACACCGCGTTGCATTACGACCCTCGCCACCGTAAAAGTTACGACTTCACTGATCGATACTCAACCCTCGGCCGTACGACTTACGACTCCGTGGAGGAGGTGTCGGGTGGAGCTTACGACACCAGATACGTCTCGTCTTACGACAAACGTCCTAGTCTGCTTGGCTATACGCGGTGAGTGATATATATCGTTGTGGCTACGTCACGTAAATAAATAATTTATCTCTGAGGGACGGTAAATTTTCTTAAATTTACCGTCTTCTACCTTCGTCAATTCTTACCTAATCCTACATCAGGATTGTCTTACCCTTCTATTCTAATCCTACAAGGTTTACGATTGCAAAGTGCCCGGATACTTTTGTGAAGCAATGGTTTGGCATATATGTCACTAGAATATATGGATAATATAAGGCGCTAGAATAATTCTTTTTTTTTTATCCACTAGAATATAAAATATTTTTATCTACTTTTTTTTATCCACTAGCGGATGGAATAATTCGTTAATTTTTTCCGCTAAAATATGTGCCTAATATTAGCGGATGAAATATCAGGATAGTGAGCTGGTAGCTGCTTCAGCTTCATAGCTGAGTTGCGCCAATAAGCGGCTTCACTGTTAGAAAAATTACCGTTAACGGTATTACCGGCGTTTCAGTGGCCGGTCGGCACGTGAAAAGAAACACCGAGTCGCCGTTTTTATTCTAATTTAACATTATGAATCCGTAAAACATCTGATAAAAACGGCGAAACAGTTTATTTTCACTGGGATACCGGCCACTAGAACGCCAGTTCTAGTGGCCGTTAACAATGGCGTTTTTTCACCGCTTTTTCTAACAATGTTGCAGAGGGCGCCTCTGACGCTATCATATAATAAAATATTTTAACATATTACCTAATAAAATGTTTTAACATATTACCTAATAAATTGTTTTAACATATTACCTAATAAAATTTTTTAACATATTACCTAATAAAATGTTTTAACATATTACTTAATAATTTTTTTTTCATCAGGCTGGTCTCTGCGCGCCCTTTCTCACCGACGCACGTCTGGTCTTACCGTGCCTCATCCGTGCCAGACCTTTCCTGTCAAGAGGGGTCTACTGGGCTGCTGGGGGCTGACACCCGTAGTCTGCTGGGGTCTGACACTCATGGCCTGCTGGGGGCTGAGGCTCCTAGTATCACCCATCACCTTCTAAAAAATGTCCCCGACGGGTTAGGAGACCTCCCTCATGGGTGCCTCCGTCCCCTCAGTCCTTGCGCGCTGACAACTGAACAACTCCAGCGAGCTGACGACGACAACATCAACAATAAAGATAACAGCAACAACATCAACAACGATAACACCTTCGATAAAACTAACGAAATAAACGAAAACAACAACGACGACAGCTACAACACCAACAATAATAGCAACGAAAACCACAACGATGTCGCAAACATTCCATCGAAAGTTGATTTGTTGAATTTGAACAAGACAGACGGGCCCAGACGGCTGCTGTCTTCTGTCTCGGGTTTCCTGAAGAAGAAGCTCCTTTCACAAGTGACTGCCGGGGCAGTGACGCTACTGTCAGTTGCGTCACTGCCTGACTACGATGAAGAACACCGTGACGAATACCGTAATGAATACCGTGAAGAATACCGTAATGAATACCGTGACAAATACCGTGAAGAGTACCGTGATGAATACGGTGAGAAATGCCGTGAAGAATACCGTGATGTCAACGACAACAACTTAACGCTTCAAGAGTTCTTGAATATTGCGAATGAAGGTGAAGGTTCGTCGCCGAGTGAACAGTGCAGTGAATCGTGCCATGAACAGTGCAGTGAACCGTGTAGAACTTCCCAGGAGTGTTCAAAGAACACTTGTGTACAAAAAGAAAATAAATTGCTCAAGGAACGCCATTGCGAACATATTGCACAGAACAACGACGTAGAGGATATAATTAATGAAGTAAAGGATAAGAGCAACGAGGTAGAGGATAGAATCAATGATGTTAAGGACAAAAGTAACGACGTTCTGAGTAAAGCGAAAGAGATACGATATCGTAGCGCCAGTGAATCGCAAATTTCGTATCCTTCTTTCCCTTGCCATCATCAACGGTTACCATTATATCCTAGATCTTTATCCTTACCTTCGCGTTTACAGGAACATATAAACCGATCAGTTTTGAACTTAAGAGTACAAACCTTCCCATCTGTTCCGAATTCCAGGAGGCAAATCAACCCTCATCGGAGCTTAAATCGGAGTAAGAGTTTCGACTTCGAGTTTCTAAAAATCCCACCGACAGATGCGGATACTGAAGGATTAAATACCACAAGAACTACCCCCTCCAAGGACGATTTACTCCCCTCAGTTTGGGACGAGCGATCCTCGTCTCTGTGGGACCTCGTCGGTCCCTCCACGTGGAATTCATCGTCCCGACGAAGCTGTTCGTCGGCGAGTCTCGTCAGTGCTCGAAATTTGAATTTTTTTCCCTCAACATTCAGTGTCGTTGTCGCCATGGGGAACATTCAGGCTGGGGATGGGAAGAAAAATCCTAAACTCAAGGAAAAAGATCGTCTGAAAATCACTAAAGGGAAAGCTTCCTCGTCTCGGCCGAGCCTGCTCGACAGTCGAGATACCCTCGTCGGTGACGAGACCGAGGACATCTCTAATGAGCACGTCATCTCCGAGGGGCACGTCATACATGAGGGGCATGAGGAAAAAGTAGAAACTAGTACCCAGATCCAGGGGAGTGTTACGGAATCCTTTAGGAAAGCCAAAAGCAAAGAAAACAGTGAACTGGAAACAACTGTAAACCGAAACTCGTTGTCTCATAAAACTTCGAGCTCCGACTCGTTATTCACAGAAGCCCCTACTAGTTTGACAGCCTCTATCATTAAAGAAAATAAGCGGGTCAAAGATAACATACCGTCTCCCTGCGACTCAATTGAGATGAAGTTTGAAGCATCAAATAACATTAGCCTTTTAGAAGTGCTTGAACTAACGAACAACTTACCTGCTTCGTCATGTCTCCCTTCAGTAACGACATCTTGTTTGCCTTTTAGATCGACAGGGCCAAGCAAGCTTTATAATTCAGTCTCTCCCTCAAGTCACGTAGAAAACGGACCGAACCGCACAGAAAACGCGGCGTCCAAGTCACGGGAACCCGCGAGGGGGGAACTAAGTGGAGGGCGGGAGTCGCCCCCCTACCACCCGCACTACGGAAACAATCGCGGCTTCAGTTACCCTTCAGCAGTGAGTGGAGGTGTATGTGCGTCGCTCGACAGCTGTGCCAATAGCTCAACCCAACCCAGCAGCTTCGAGAGTGCCAGAGACACGTTGCTCGACGTCACTGATGTTACCTTGAGTGTTGACAACACCACTGACGTACCATTGAGTGTTGCCAACACCACTTTATTCCCCCCAAAGCCCCACGCTTTCGATGCCTCCAAGGAACTATCTTCTCGTGCGGCGGACATCAAACCCAAGCGATACCTCCCCTCCGTGCCCTCCCTCTCCCCCCCGCCCTCCCCACGCACCTCCAAAGCCCCGGATCAGGTGATCGAGGACGATCTTTATATCTACGAGATCTTCCTAGAGGCGCCGGCGTCGCAGGATCATGAAGGATCTTCAGGATACGGATCCCTAGCCCGCCCCCCGCCGCCCCCCGCCATGCCACAGGCGTCCGCAGGCCGCGGCACCGCCGCCTTCCGGGTCACCCGCCACCGCCGCGTCGACCTGCAACCTGCAGCAGGTTAGTGTAGCATGCAGCAGGTTAGTGTAACATGCAGCAGGTTAGTGTA